ATTGTGATGCTCAATACCATACTCCACATGTGTTGTTGTTCAACTACCTCTCTCTTTACCAATGATGAAGCGGAAATATGCATCTGCTTTATTATATTCCCAAAGTATACTCGTACGTAACAGCTGCAGGGACATGCGATATCCGCAAAACTAAGACATTCATTGTTTATCAGCTTTCCTCACGTTATGTTCCACTCGCGCGAGAATCGGTCTAAAAATATTTATGACATGTGACGTGACACATACCTATATAGTTTCATCAAAGAAAAGCCTGCTATTACATCACCGAGCTAACTCACGTTGCCAAAAGAGCAAAGTTATTCTTAAATGCACACCATCAACAAGTATATGAGACACTCGCAGCAATTTGAGTTTCCAAAAGTTTTGATGCGAGTTTGACAGTGTTACAGATATCAAAATGCATTTACAAGAGCAGATAATCCTACAACTAAAAGCTCATCATCGATTAAAATAGCATATTCTGCTTTTCTACTTACATGCTACAAAGGCAAATATATCAGAGAATTTTCAGTACAAAATTCATGATATAATCGTAAAATTGACTAGTAACTACCACTTCTACGTCTACCTCTGGACCACAGCTACTCGTTGTAGTCTTCCGTATCTTCCATGGCTTCAGTATGGTAAATTGAAGTGTGTTTGGCTAATATACGAAGCAGTGGTCTCAGTTTCAACCACCACTGTTCACAAGGCAGACGCTTATCGAAGTCTGTTTCGGCAGCAAGCTCTTCTACTGGGGTGAAGACCTAAAAAGCAAAAAAGCATATTCTTCCTCAACGTAAATTATACAGAACGGTATTTCACTTAGACTTGAACATAGACTTACGACACGTCTTCCTGTTAAACCTAGCAATGTGGCTGTCTCCGGTGACTTTGTCATGACAACGCCATTCACCATGGAGTCCTGATATACAAAAACAGTCAAGAAAATCTCACGGTTTTTCTATGCCACGATACCTTGATTTGTGTAATGATATACTCTAAGGCTCTTGCAGCTAATTTTGTGCCCATGTTTCTGTCGAAAGGTGTTGGACTGCCACCCTGTTGAGCATGACCAAGGATGTTGATTCGCGTAGAAAACTGTAATGGAGTACAATGGCATTCAAAGGAAGTAAGCCAAGAATTACTAGCCAAGAAATATGAGCCCCTTCCACTAACTCTTCGAAAGGAAAAATATCCCGTAAGTATCCGTACCTCTCCTTTTCCTTCTTCAGCGAAGAGCTGCTTAACGAACTCGGTGGTGAAGTTTTTGTTGGCATATTCGTTTCTCACAATGAGATACCTTTGCACTCCTTGCGCCATTTTAGCCGCGATAACCTAAACAATTTCGGCTATATATCCTCCAAAATCACGAAATTACATATGCTTTGATGTAAATGAGCAACTGAATACCTCTACGTCTTCGATAATATCCTCAACAGTGAATTTTTCTTCGAAAATGTACGCGTTATCGGCACCAGAGGCCAACGCCGAGAGAGTGGCTAAGTAACCACAATAGCCACCCATAGTTTCAATGATGAACACTCTGGAAATTCACGTATAGTTGATCTTAAGTACAAGTTTTCTATATACCTTCTCTTCGTTCCTGTCGCTGACTGCTTAATTTTATCAATCATGGTGCAGATCTCGTTCATAGCCGTATCAGAACCGAGCGATAGGGATGTTCCTTAAAACCGAATGATTGAGCTGTAATGTAAGGCGAAGTGTATTAAAAGATCCACCTGGTACATTGTTGCTGATGGTGCATGGTATAACACACATTGGTATACAAAACTCGGGATATCTGTCACGATTTTTCGAGAGAATAAGAGTGGAGTGGTAAGCCTGAATGAAACTTTTCTGCATAAAATGAAAAGAATGTGATGGTCCAAGCTAAGAACAAAGGACTAGTCAGACATGCTTGATGTCTGTTAATGAAAAAGCAAACCCTTTTCAACGGGTAGGGGCACACTGATGGTTGTTTCAGCTTTGCCAGCACAAAAAAACCTTACATGATATCAATCTTTTCCCTCTGAAGCTTTATGCTCCATATCTCATCTTTCCTAAGTTTCGCGTATCTCGATACGGTTACACTTGTACAGATACAAAGAGCACGTACAAAGTTACTGCAGGATGAAGGCGGGCGCGCAACCCTAAGCGAACGCAAAGGCAGCGCGGCAACCTATTGTTGTGATTCTGCATCATATGCGTCCTAAAATGGCAAAACCGCTTTCGTGTCCCTAGGTTGCCCTTTTTCGTACATTAGTAAATCCTAGCTAAAGACTAAGGGAATCTATTCAGTCTTTTTGAAGATTGAAAAATCAATTTCAATTGAATAAGAAGATGTCAGAATGCGATTGCGAAATAAACACCTGTTCGCTCTGTCAATACCTATTACTTTTTTTCTGAGGGAGCCACCTGTCGACGAGCCAGTACCGGGTCATATTCCAGAACATTCTATTCAAAGTGGTTAGACCGATCTTCTATTAAAGGCATTCAAACGCCACAGTTTTTTGCCCACAGCCTCTACGCACGCAGTCAAAAGTCGCAAACCCTGCGCGCTGATGCAGACCGTAGTGCGTGAATTACCACCCCAAGTATCAAAACCTAGCATATGGAAAGAAAAACGTCTAAAGCTTTGCTTTTTACTTCATGTACGCTATCTACCAATCAAACATATTCCAGAGAGCTTATCTGGTATTTTTTGGTAATTCCAAAATCACGGTGTCAAGAAATCAGAAGATATGGGACATGGATATACAAAACAAAATCATTGAAAATTAGTAGGTTGCGAAACGTCTCTGAACGATATATGTAAACAAAAATGATTAACGTACCTCAAATCCTCCTACAAGCAACAGCGCTTGGATATTATGCTTTCTGAGCTGTTCTGCGATATGTGGAACATTCTTCTCGTTGGGTAGTTGTTTCTGCGTCCCCAAGAACGAGCCACCATGCATTACCCAGTTTGTCACGTCTCCCCATTGGAACTTCTGAAGTCAGATACATGAGTTAACGAGACCCGGGGAGTTCGTTCCCATGTACAAACCTTGAAGGCACCGTTGGCTAAACCTTCGAAGGAATCTTCAATACCGTAAACAGTGCAGTGATGGTACAATGCCATACGCACAAAAGATCGAACAGCGGCGTTCATTCCTAGAATTACCGAGCACATGTAATATGATATGATTTGCGTTCCCCTTACATCCTATGTCACTTCAAGCCTCTACAGCAACACATACAGCATCAGACACTGAAGAAGGTCAACAACGTACCTCCAGCTGGAGCTCCAACGTTCATTACGGCGACATTGAAATTCTGTCCACCAGAAAGGTTGTCCTTCTCAACCGTACGAAGTTTCGTCAAAAGCTTATACGTCTCCAAATTACGCTGGAAGCTGCGTCCGCGCAGTTTGACGGCTAGCTCCCAATCTTTTTCGTTCATAGCTTTTTGCACCTAAGAAAAAATAACCTATTTTCGAGGAGGGTTCATACGCCTTTCGAGTGACGTGACCCCATGACTATACCCGATTGAATCATTTCCGCTATAGAAAAGATGAAAAAATTATCGGTGATCTTATCAACAAGGTTCTAACGATATACAAGAGTGGGTGGCATATGAGTGACGACTCGATAAGGCACAAGAGAAAAATGGAAACAGGAAAAACACAATGAAACGTGTAAAAATCTGACTCACGGCCTGAGTTCGTTCCACACATTGCATGAGAGGCACACGCACCATTTGGTTTCCGTCAATTGAGATAACGCAAGGTTCAGACTCCTGCATAAGATTTATGTTAAAAGAAAGAAACAGTGTTATACAAAGTCCAATCCGATGCAAACCTCGTTCATCTCCATGAGAGCTAGCACGGCTTCTGCGCCCATTCTACAGCCAAGTAGACGATCAAAGGCAGACGGAGCACCACCGCGTTGGACATGTCCCAACACGGTCACCTAAAGAGAACAACTAGACTTATAAGGCGATAGCTGCAAATTTGCAATCGTATGGATGGCGAAAATATTGCTCCCGCCGCCAAACTAACCCTGGTATCGTAGTGCAAAGTTTTTGCAACGACGTCTTTGACGAGCTCTGCTGAAATCGCATTGCCATCCCGATCAATCGCTCCTTCGGCAACAATGATGATGTTCAAACGTTGACCCTCAGCACGCATCTACGAAAAAAAA